AGTGCCATAAGAGAGCAAAAGGCAGCTAATGTGTTGGTTATTAATGTGCCAGCTTCTGGAACTTTCAAGTTAGTCTCCCAGGAGATTGGCTTGCTACTTCCAGAGGCCTGCTAGTCAGTAGGATCTCAATTCTAATCAAAATGCCTGTCTCTCTTTTCCAGCCTCTTGACCCCAAATCCCTGACCCAGTCGAGCATCCTGGATCACCATTTCACAAACAGACTTTGCCTCAGGATGTCTGATGTGTATGTCCCAAGGCCTCTGCTTCTTTACAATGCCAAGAAGAGACCAACTGTTCCTTTGTTACATTAACGCTCAGGAGTAAGCTTGTCTTAACCAGAGAAGAAGTTTCAAAGAAGCAGGAGGCCTTGTTGATGCCCTTCATGCCTAAAACCACAAATGACTGTAAGCAAAGCACTGATCTCCCATGTAACTTGTGCTTCTCCTATCAAGCCAATTACTCTCAAAATCTCTATAGCAACAGCAGCTGAGACATGCCTATGGTGGGCTACAGCTTCTCAATCTATCACAATAAGGTCACTCAACAGATGAATCCCTTACGCAGTCAATAGTTTCATGATGTAAAAATAACACAAATGTTCATTCCTTATCTATGACATTAGGGAAGTTTAACTTCATAAACAAAAACATTCTGGTACTTGGAGGCAAATGATGTACTCAACGTTATAACCAGAGAGATAGGACCAAGATAGATAGATTCTATTTAAATCATTTTATTTCCTAATAAAGTTTAGTGCTCTTACTTTTAATCTGTTTATTTATTCAGAACTATAAGAATAAGCAAAACTAATCACTGATAAGATCTAGTCACGTTTCTACTAATAATACAAGCATCACTTAAAATAACTAGGATGTAGCATACTTATTATATTAGCCCAAATGAGTCTAAATAAATCTGACAGAGAATAGCATATAGTTTAATATATGAGCTCATTGTTTGTAATGATCTTGTCAAATAGAAACAGTTTTCTAAAGAAACATTTCAAGGCGCTCTGTGTGGTAGCATATCCCAGCACCTATGAAACTGAGACAGGAGGAACACATGTTCTAGGTCAAAGCTAAGAACAGTAGGCACTGCCCTAGGGATTACTGATATTGATAATTTGAATTGATAATTGTGGTGGTTTGATTATGCTTGGTCCAAGGAGTGGCACTATTTAGTAGGTATGGCCTTGTTGGAGGAAGTGTGTCAGAGTCAGGGTGGGCTTTGAGAGCCTCCTCCTAACCATGTGGGAGACAGTCTTCTGTTTGCCTTTGGTACAGGATGTTGAACTCTCAGGTCCTTCTCCAGCACCATGCCTGCCTGGATGCTGTCATGCTTCCTGCCATGATGATAATGGACTGAACCTCTGAAACTGTAAGCCAGCCCCAGTTAAATGTTGTGCTTTTAAAGACTGGCCTTGGTCATGGTTACAGCAATGGAAACCCTAACTAAGACAATAAAGTACATTTTAAAAATCATGTTAATTTTAAATGTAAAATTAATTGTAAATTTAAATTTAAAAATATAAAAATTTCACTTAGTTTTCTTTTAGCGTTTAATAATGATAAAGGGATAGAAGGTAGTCCATAAACATACCGCAAATCTAAATAGATGAGAGGCTTAAAGTGAAGATTACCAATGAAGCATGCTCTCCATAGATTCGTATCAGGTACTAGACAGAAAGCAGGTAAAATACATATGAAGAGAGCTATACCATCACACTGAGTCAAATCTGTTCAATTGTAGATGCAGGTATACAAAGAATAAGAACTCAAGAGACCGTACTAATGAGATAAACCTAATCTGAAGAGATTACCGGGCCTTTAACCTCCGGGTATACAAACATTAAATTTAAATGTGATTTTAGGCTTACCAATAACCAATTTAGAAAGAAGTTTAAGTTTTGTTTTACAGGAGGCCTCATTACCGGATCAAGAGTCAAGCATAAGTGGTTGGTGGTTAAGTAACAAAAACAAACCAAACACAAGAACAGAAAGAAAAGAGTCCCACTGATTGGTGCCCAGGGACTTGATTGTCTTGTCTTTGGGACACTTGTGTCCAGCAGTGTGACAAGAAGCTGGATCCCATGGACAGCATCTCCTGTTCTAGAACTTTAGCTCCTGGAGAGACAAGCAACCCTAGTGCTGCCTGCCTTAAGTCTACCTTCCAAGCAGCTTGTTCTAATTCATGCTTCCTGTTTCTCTAGTCTCTCTGTTCTTTCAGCATGCAGCTTATTATAACGGTGAAAGTTTAGAAGGAATTGGAAGTACTGATACCTCAGTCAAAGGCACAAGGCTCATGTTGAACTCTGGAATCAATTCTGAACAAAGAGGGCCTTTAGGGAAAGTGGAACTGAATTCTGAGAACACTTAAACCTTTCTGGGTAGCTATGGAAAGAGGTCATTAATCAAGGACCAGAATTATAGGTTCTTATGAGGGGGAGAAATCACAGAAAGGATAGTAAGAGTCTCCATTATTTGAATTCACTCAGCTCTTCCATGTGTATGATTAAATATCTCCCAGATAGTCTTCCTTGCTTTAAGTGCAGTGTGCTATGACAGGCAACCAGAGGAGAGGGAACCAGCATCCTAAACAACCTCAGAGATCTTACAACAGCATCTGGATTCTGAGCTCCTACACTATAGAAAATGACTAAAAATATGAAACTGAAGATTTCCTGAAGGCACCCAGGAAAACAAACACTAAAGAAAAATGGAAGATAGGTATATCCAAGAAGCAAAACAGCCTCCTCGAGCTAAGTGAGTCTGAGTTTCAGCACACACAAATGGAATGGTAAACAGGTTCCCAAATCTAACAATACAGAAGCTCAGATGTAACATTTGTTGAATGGCTTTTCCTCAGTAGACTAAGGGTGCTTACAAAGATTGTCTCATTTCATCTTCAGGGGGCCTAGGAAAAACACTCCCATCATGGCCAGTATTAGGTGAGAAAAACTGAGGCAAGTAACTTGCCCAAGACAGAAAGCTTTGATTGAATTCAATTCAAACTTATATTATCTCTGCATGCTGATACAGTTTCCTACCCAGTATTGTATGTAATACCTTTGCTTACAAAGCATAAAAATAAACAGCTTAAGAAGCCTTTCACAGAAGCACTGTTACAGTAACAGTGATCAGAGGCATGCTAGAAAGGGAGCAAGCAGGAGCTATAAAAAAGGAACTGCTGCTTGCTAGGAGAGAGCTAGATGGCTGGACAAGGCTTTGCTGACTCTGCTGCCAAAACTTGCAGCAATAAATGATTGCACAAGGCTGTCCTGAGTCGCTGGAAAGTGCAGCCCACTTAAAAGAGGTCAGACTTATAAAAGGCCTTCCTCTTTTCAACAATGATTTCACAGGGTGGTACTGTGACCCTGAAGAGCTGAGTGACGTAAGAGGTGAGATTTTGCTGACTTGACTTTCTCTTATTACAGATGCTGCTGCTTTCGGATAGAGCATCACTGTGCTTATCTTTATAGTCTGAACAACTAACTATATGCAGCACTGCCCAAGTCACAGGACAAGGAGGAAATGTGACAAACGTAGCCCTGGCTCTGACTGATGGTAACCAGAAGCCACCCTCTGGCTGTGTTTCTCTTCTCACTTTAGACAGCAGGTAGGCAAGCAAAGTAAGATGGAACCCAGGAGATGCAAGGCAACATTACATAAATATAGAAAGTGTCAGTCATCGTGAACTGTGCTTTGTGCTATACACATCTTTGAGTTTCAATAAACTGGAGTTTTCAGAATTTTGTTACCAACTGTGCTAGCTTAGTTTTATGTCAACTTGACAGAAACTAGAGTCACTTCAAGGGAGGGAATTTCTATGAAGAAAATGCCATCATAGTTCTGGCTGTAGGCAAGTCTGTAAGGCATTTCTTCATTAGTGATCAATGGGGAAGAGATCAGCAGCCCACTGTGGGTGATGCCATCCCTGGGCTGGTGGTACTGTGTTCTATAATAAATCAGGCTGAGGAAGCGATGGAGAGCAAGTCAGCAAGCAGGATCCTTCCATAGCCTTTCTATCTTTCCCATCAGTGATGGACTGCTACCTGGAAGTATAAACAGAAACAAACTGTTTCCTCAAAAAGCTGCTGTTGGTCATGGTGTTTCCTCACAGTAGTAGTAAGGTGAAGACACCAACTAAGGCAGACAGTCCAATAAAATTAAACTCTGGAAATCTACAAAGTTCTGAGTCCCATTATCTTATTCTCAAGCTTTCTCTGTTGTTGAAATGCCTTGGCAGAGGGTACAACTGTGACTAATTTTTAGGTTTTCAAAAAGTACTACTTTTTCCATGAATATGTTCAACAGATAGATCAAAAGCAGAATGGCAGTAAAGGAATTTACTTTGGACATACAGTTTTCTTATTTAGCAAGCTACTCTATCAGAAGGTAGCGTAATAGATTAAGTAGCCATGTAAAATGCTAAGGAAATGTTATTTATTTTTAGTCACTAAGCTTTGCTATTCAGAAATAGCTTTGTTCTTTAAAACAGAACCATTTCTAGCTCAGTTAGAATCATGGTGCAATTCTCCTTAATACTCTATAATAAAGAGTTTCTCTAAACCATAGACAGCCCAGGGGGTTAGGGAGATAAAAATGATTCTGCAGAGATAATTAGTCCAGAAGTTTGGAAGGTCATTAGCACCTGCTAAGTCTTTCTCAAAATACTGAGAATTCAAATGCAGGATAAGATTTTATGACTCTGAGAACAGGGAACCCTTCATACACATGACAGAGAACAAAGTTTCTATATACATGCATGAAAAATGCAGGTCAGACAACCTTTCTGGTTGATCTTTAATTGAAAGGCAGCCCTCTCCAGAACACAATTTTCTGACTTCGTGTGAAGGGTAATTACTTAGAAAAAAATACAGCATGTCAATTTACATGTGAACATCTTTTGAACTTCAAAGAACTGATGACGACATTTATATTGAGTGACTGGTATTTGGTCAAAGAAGACAGAGCAGATGAAGGCCCAATGTGGCAACTTACGATGTAGCAGGGCTCACAGTATGCCTTCTTTTCCACTGCGTAGAAAGGCTGTCCTCGGAGCTTGACATCACAAACAATGCAGGTGAAGCAATCCACATGGAAGACCTGATCCATGGCGGTACATCCTGTTCCTTCTCCAACTACATTTTCCCCACAGCGGGCACAACGACCTGGAAGATAAGGGGTTGCTTGTTATAGAGGAATTCTTAGGTCTGTTCAATGAAGTCTAGATGAGGGAAATAGATGGTTCATCCTGCAGTAGCAAGAGACACAGCACTACTGCCATTGCTGTATTAAGTAGCAAGCTCACCAAAGTCTCCTCTGCACATAGCAGGAATCTATCTGAGCCAATTGAGCAGACAGCTAAGGCTCCTGAAAAGGCAATGGAGGTAAACTCATATGCTTGATGCTGGGGCCTGGGTACTGCCTCTAATCACATACAGGTAGGAGCAGGATTCAGGATGCTGGGGTTGAAAGGCACAATCTACTGAACAGAACAATTCAGATAAGCCTCTGTCTCTGGAAGAGTCAGTATATCAGTTAGTGTGTGTGGATCTCGTCTAAATTCAGACTTCATACCCTTTTTAAGTCCTGGTTGTCAATCTTCTGTAGCAGGCCCTCACTGACCAGCTCTTTCTGTTTCCAGATCACAGAGGCTGCTAGACCATTTTGTTCCCAATGGAGCCACTACTGCAACCCCACCCTGACTGTCCCCTATGGTTCTAGTTCTGTCTAGTTCTGTGTGGCTCATGAAGCCAAGTCTCATTCCACACGCTTGACATCATCTAAGATACTAGTACAGTCAACACTGTCTCTGAGTGATATCTACACCACTTAACTGAACCATGTACTATGTATGTGGTTGGGAGTTCCTTTGGAACCTAGTTCTCACTGTCTGTTCTGTAAAGGTAAAGTGTGTGTGTGTGTGTGTGTGTGTGTGTGCCTGTGTGTATCAGATTAGATTTTAAAGAACATATTAGTATTTAAACAGTAATAGACTATAATTTAGTATAAAATTTTAGGACTAGGTATAGTTCAGTGATAGAACATTTGCTTAATATATACTAGGACCATGAGTTCAAACCACAAGACCAGAAGGAAGGAAAGTAAATAAAGGGACAAGGATGGGTATTATTCTGAGTGGCAGCCTCTGTAACCCAATACCCTGGGATCAAAAGGGCCACAGCCACCTTGACTCCTTATAGTTCATGTCTACCAGGCAGAAACAAAACACTTCTAGGTAGCCATAGGCAACTAGGAACATCAACAAGGACCTGCAGGCTTTTGATTATAAATACCATAGACACAGCTTCATGAATTGCCAACAGTTTTTGAGGCTCATTTCTAATTCATGGCACCCTTATGTGGGCATACTACCATTATTCTTACTCTAAAGAAGAGGAAAGGAAGTTGCAGAAAATATTTAACTAACTTCATGCCTAAACATCCTTGCTTGAAGTGTCTGCCCCAACCCCACGGCGGCATTGCCTGTTCTGAGCTCTGGATGAACATCAGTGCGGGAGCTGGTATTATGGATCATTTGACGGAGTGACTTCTCATTGAGGAAGGCTTTCAGCACCCCGTCACATTGGACTGACAGCCACTTCACACTCAAAACTGGGAGGGGTAAATGTTTCAATAAGTGAGAGAAGAGGTAAATATATTTCTCTGGCTGCACATGGTTCTAGAAATATTCCTCTGTATTCTGTTGCAGATGAATTAATTTGAAGTATCATCAATGAAACACTGAGAACAAAAAGTTTGTCTTAAAAAATGAACTGTGTCTGCTATAACTGTACTAATATGAAATTTCAGGCTGGTTTTCTGATATTTAATACAAGCCTGGTATTTGTAATATAGTTTATAGTTGATTTTAATGAACTCCTACCCAACAGTTACCTTACAATTATTTTTATTATTAGACATAAAGTTAGAAATGTTCCTTTAAATTCACATACTTTTCTGGTTAGAGTAAGAAAATTAAGCTTTTCATTTGTCACTCTTTCTGGAATTATACACTGTTTGCAAAATGATGCCATACCTCTGAGAATTTCAGGCCAACAAATGAACTGTAGAAAACACACATTAAGAGTTGCGGAAAATAGATCAAACCATGTGAACATTATTACAAATCCACTGAATTTGCATGAGAAGTATAATTTTATATTATAAATTCAATATAGGTCAACACACTTATTTTTTCAATGTTAGGTTTACCAGTTGTATAAGTCAAAAAGAACCACTTAATAGGAAGCCAAGAAGCACAAGGGATCTAAGAAACATACTTTGGCAAGATAAGGATGGGCTCATGACAGGGGCACAGTGGCTGGCTAGGCAGCAGTAGCAGCTGTTTGGGTCTTGACCATGAATGCTCAAAGTGCAGTACATAGAATAAAGATCCTGAGCCTATAAGGCATCTAGAGAGCTAGAAAGCTATCCCAGGTATAGAGCAGCTTTAATTATGAGCTTACACTGAAAGCCTGTTCTGGAAAGAAAAATTTTACTCTTCAATCTCCTTAGTAGTTGTTCCAAGGGTCTGCTCTTTGTCTAGTACTTCAGTGTGCTTTTGTGTGACAAGAAGAAGTGGACTAGTCACCACCAGTGCTTCTTACCGTGATTAAGGAACTTCCTGTGCCCAATGATCTAGGACACCATGTGTGGCACATTGCAGGGAAAAGTGCTACAGAAATATGCAAGGGAAATCACACCTAAAACAGCCCTGCAAGAGTTTCCCGAGGAAACAAGCAATTGAGTTCGACCTTAAAGAATGGAATTTTGACAGGTAGAGGTGGGAGGCAGAAAAACACTGCTTTTTTTTTCCCCAAAAGAAAGGACTAACATCTGTGGCTTACTGGATGCAAACCATTGAAGAGCCTGGTGATGGCTCAACAAGCATCTGTGTGCTCGCCACAAAAGCAGATGGCTTGCATTCCCAGAAACAATTCTCTCTTTATGTCTGGAGAATATTCTTTCAGAGTAGGTTGGGCTAATGTGCTGGACCTGGACCTGACCAGTTCTGTTACCTACTGTAGTTTTCCTGTTCTTGGGATAAGTTAGGGACACCAGCCTCAAGGGCAGCCAGTCTGGCACCTTACAATTCACAACCATAGAAAAAAACAGCAAAGAACAAAAGTTAAAAATAGGTCTACAAACCAGCAACAGAAATAAAGTGCCCAAATGTTTCCCTTGTATATTAACAAGAATGTATAAACTATTCCTTGGGGAGAGCATTCAGAATACATAGCAAACAACTCAAGCAGAGGGTATCTTCTCTGTTCCTAGAGGGACTCAGACAACACATTAGTAAAAGCATGCCATAGCCTTAATGCCTGTCTTTTAGATACTATTCTCAGTGCCTTAGATAGGAAAGACCAGAGGAATGTCGGTAGGCCTGAAGGCACCAGGGTTCCAAGGAAGCACAGTTGATTAGGCAGCAGGAAGCAAGGGGTTCTGACACAGGACCAACACTCAGAGTGTCTAAGCAATGCTTACCAAATCAAATGAACCAGGGGGACAGAGGACCAGAAACCGGACACACATACCAAAAGATTTCATATGTTCACTACTGCCTGTGGCCAGTCTTGGATCCTGTGCACCTCTCTTCTCTTTCCCACATGTAGCAGTCTCCTTAATGTTGATGAAACCAATTATGTAAATCTGGTTTCCTTATTCTGGGACACTACAGGGCTTCCTCAATGTTCTTAAACCTGTAGTTATCTTACTACCTCCATAAACACAAATGCCTTATGGATGTCTTAGTAACTGAGGTAAGCTTGAATAGCCAGACTGAATTCCAAACAGATAATAGGAGAGATGTAAGTAGAGCCTGGCAGTCTAAGAAAACCAACAGGCTGATCAAGTACAAGATATGAGCGTCCAGAGTTAGTTTCATGCTTGCAGTTTGTATTTACTTTATAACTCACAGAAGTTATTTAAAAGTCGTTTTCTAGTAATAACTGCATGCAAAGGACATTTTCAAGCAAGTCTATAAGGATATGGTCAGTTCCTCAAACTCTGCTGTCCTTCCCTTTGTGCTCCTTCTCCAATCTTGTTAGTCCTTTGCTAGTTCCTGGGTAGTTGTATGTCAACTTGACACATGGAGAGGAGGAAACCTTGATTGAGAGAATTCCCTCATAATATCATGCCATAGGCAAGCCCATGAAGCATTGTCTTATTTAATAATAGATGTAGGAGGTTACAGACCACTATGGGTAGCATGCCATCCCTGGGTGGGTGGTCATGGATGAGCAAACCATGGAGAACCAGCCAGAGAGCAGCACTCCTCCACGCCTCAGCATCATCAGCCCCTTACACCAGGTTCCTGCCTGTGCTTGAGTTATTACCCTGACTTTCTTCAATGATGAACTGTGATATGGATGTGTAAGCCATATAAACTATTGTTTTATGACAAATAATAACCCTAAGACAACTCTCTTAGACAGTTTTTTCTATTCTGCCAGTGTATATGTGTGTATATATATATATATATATATGTATATGTATATATATATCATATATATATGTATATATGTACGTATACATAAAATCTGAGACCCACAAGTAAAAGGTAACATGCAGTATTTGTCTTTCTGAGAATTAATTAGCTGGATAAGATTATCTCCAGTTGCATACATTTTCCTACAAATGACATTACTTCCGTTATTCTTCAGTCTTTGCTTTTAAACTGAAACACAGGCCATGGAGGAATGCAGCTTACTGGCTTGCTCCCCATAGCTTGCTCAGCCTGCTTTCTTTTTAACTTAAAAAAATTTTAATTAATTTTTATGTTTTAATTAAGATATAATTACCCCACTTTCTGTATCCCTTTCCTGTCTCCATTTCCCCCATGCCCACCACTCAAGTTGATATTCTTTTTTTCTCTATTACTGTTCTACACCACACACACACACACATAAACACACATACACACACATAAACACAACACACACACACACACACACACACACACACACACACTCCACCGTCTATCCATTTTTGTTCATATGTATGTGGTTTCAGGGCTGCCTGCTTTGTACTGGATAACCAATCAGGGGGCAATTCTGGGAGAGGATGCTTCTCTCACTCTCAGAAGTCATTATGGGACCCTGTAAGAGTGAGACTCTTCACTCTTCTCCATGAGCATGTTTACTGATATTGTCATTGTTCAAAC